ATATCTAATTCCACCTTGACGAAATCGCGGGTATCAGTTATTCATACATATATTTTCCGTCGTAATATTTTTTGGTTGTCTACGAAATTATTCGCAAAATTGCGACGAATAATGAATAATATACCGGTTTTAGGAGTCACTTTTATATGTGAGGGTCTATACACAAATTCTTTAACTTGCTATAAAATCAGCTAAAGAGCTTTACCATTTAACTAAATTTAAGTGTATGTTTTCGATGTCAAAATACAAATAATAATAAGTTTTAACTAAATGTTTACACAGTATTTATAAATCATTTTTGAAAATTGCTATTTGTTTGAGTGAACCAACCTCCTCTTTCACCGGCTAAGCTCTTTTATTTTTAAAAAGAATTATTAAAAAAGTTAATACAAATGCAGACTTGAGTAAAGACGCAAAAATGAGCATTATCTTCACACAGTATAAATTGAAGACGATTTTTTCTTCATCGCTTAGATTTTAATGCGGTTTCCACCAATAAAGAGAGAGTGATTCAAAAGGCGGGTTTATATGTATAATACATGCATATAACAGTAGAGGAAAGCCGAGAATTTTAAAGATTTATAATGTAAAGCCGTCAAAAACATGTTTCTGTGCGCTTACATTTCACACTCTCGCTAAACCTTACCAGGTACATTAAACTAATGTACTACGGAATTGTATATCTTAAAAAGATCTACAAAAAAAGTCCGCGATGGTATATTATTATGTCTATTTCCTAAGGATAACCCATAGTAACCTTTATCTTTTACATATTATAAAAATAATGCGTAATTTACGAAGTAATTTTTTAACAACACAGTATTATTCCTTATCCAAATACATATGTTAGGTAAGTTGACCATTTAATGTAGATCACAATTGCCTTTTACAGTAGATAATTAAAATTATTATCTTAGTAGATATCAGTGATTTAAAATTCGGGGCAATTGCGGGTGGCAGCGGCCGGCAGGAGCGGAGCGGGCCTATAAATATTGGATAAAAAGATGTACTCTCACCACATTAATAGTACCCGTGCTAAGCCGGGGCGGATCGCTTGTCTATTATAATCATAAAATGTACCTAATACATGAATGTTTAATCAACTGGGTACAATCACTCTCCATGACTTCAAAAGTACTCACATGATTGAAATTAAACTGCTCTTACCTATTTAATTAAATTGCTAACTACCATAGCCGTACCTAGAGGGTGCTAGCGGTGCACAGGGCGTAGATACTAGAGTGGTGTAGAAAGAACCAAACCAGATTAGAACGTTTTATGGGGTGCCCTTACAGAGAGGCGCATAAATCGCAAGTTACATTACACAAGACTTTTTAATATATGACTTTTACTTTAGAGGGGTGCCAGCGGTGCCTAGGCACAGGGCGTAGACACTGGAGGGCTCAGAAAGTCAAGAGCCTACTAATACGATACTATTTTAAGGAATTTCTCTTACGGAAACTAGTACCGCACGCATAAAATACTACTTACTATGGTAATGTGTATAGTATTAAATGATTCAAGTAATGTGAGTATGTGACATACCATCCAATTAATCCCAGCAATAGTTTTTATTTCGTTTTTATATAACTAGCAACTAGCTTACTAACAACTAGCTTTCCTAGGTTGCAACTTTGTATGTCTAAAGGAATAATTATTCGAAGTTTTTACAACATTGATGATTATAGCGTGTTGTTTGATAGCCTTAAGTTTTAAAGCCTTCTTCCAGACCAAGTAGTTCCTGAGACTAACGCATTCTACAAAACTATCTAGACATCTATACTTATATTATAAAGCTGAATAGTATGTACAGTACAGTTGAGACAGTATACTTGGCTCACTTTCACACCATAACAGACCATGTTGTATGGTGTGAACGTTTGGTGTGTGTGAAATTCTAAACAATATCATGTAGTCTGTTGCTACTGAAAATTTATGGTTTCTCTTCATTGATATGTTTGTATTATGTATGTATGTTATTATTTCTCAGAACATAATTACTTATCATGGTACCAAATAAAAGAATAAGATATCAAGAATTTTTTATGATCTACTAACATTATTTCAGATCTGTAAAGTTAAAAAAGCCAGCCAAATATGTGCCGATTTTAGAATATAAGCTTTTAATGAGCACTGGAGTCTAATAAATACTAATATTATAAATGAGAAAGTGTGTCTGTCTGTCTATCTGTTACCACTTCGTGCTTAAACTGCTGAACCGATTTAAATGAAATTTGGTTATTATAGATTGGATAATATAATATGATAGATGGTTAATATAGAGATAGTTTAAGTCCCAGGAAAGGACATAGGGTAGTTTTTATTCCAGAAATCATCCTATAAGGGAGTGTAACTCTTTACACTCCCTTATAGGATGATTTCTGAGTGGGAGTTAGATGAAATTTGGTATGGAAAGAGTTTGATTATTGGTGTCCTTTGTGTTTCTTTTAGGTAAAGGTTTGTAAAGACCCCGGCATTTGTAAAGCAAAGGTAACACGGGATTTATTCCTAGAGCCGGAGTTGAGTTAGAGTTAAAAAAAAAAAACTTATAAGATTCTTACATGCATGTTAGAAAATATATCAAAGGCAACTTACAGATATCTTTAATTAGACATTACCTACAGATATCTTTAAAAATATATCTTAAGCACATCATTTTTTTTTTGTTTTTAAGAAGTTCAGATTTGAGTCTGTTTGCTGAAAAAATATTCTTTTTGTTTATCTCGTCTGTTTCAGAGACAATAATACCAAAAGTATTCGATGAGATGTCTGATTTATTAGATATTTTTACTAAATTTAAAACCCTCAAGAATTTCCTTACTACATAATTGTAGATGTTGTTTTTGATATTTTAACAACTTAAAAGCTGTTTTGTAAGATTTCTAACATATTTATTTTACAACATGGTACAAATAGTAAACAAACCAAAGAAAGAAGATCATAAAGTTACAATGAAACACATAATATTTATTATAACTGAATGAAGACTACTGTTATAAACTGCATATATACAGACACAGAGTAAACAACATTTGTTTATATAATAAATGTGAATAACCAATTGTTGAAAGGAAACAACTGAAACACAGGAAACTTAAATCTTTAATAAAAATATGTGACATGTGACTTTTATATAAATGAATATTCATTCATTTTTAATCTAAAACAATTTTTTATCATAAAATTTATTTATGTGTTAAGTTATAGAACATTTAAAAACAAATTGAAATTTGTTCCACAACTTTGTATAGGTAATTAAACTAATTAACAACCATAAACTTTTTAGTTTTTCTTTTTTATAACACATTTTTAATATTATTTATTTTTTATAGACTTTTTAAATATGGAATGTTAGACTACATCTATTGATGTTTGAAGATAGTTAAGTAATATTAAATTTTATTCAACTAAACTAGAGTACACAGTAATCAAGTTACGAAACAGCAGCAATAGGTTTAAAAAGAAAATATTTGACATTTATCCTCACTTATTTAAAGACCTTCACCTAGTGTTTTGACTACGATTTATATTCATGTTACGAACAAGTAGCGGGAAAACGTAGTAGCCAGATTCCTATACTCTATGTTCTATAGTTTATGACTGTTATTTAGGTACAAAAAGATTCCAAGGAGAAAATACACTTTTTAAAAAACTAGATAGGAAGCAGTGATAGTATAAAATCGTTCGCGGCACTGTAAACCTTATATATACTGAATTCACGACCAGCAGGTAAGTACATATGTAATGAACCTTGACATTACTACCTATTGTTAATACAGTGCATAACACAACGAATAGAAAAGATATAGTTACTTTTACGACACTTTTAAGGACTAAACCAGGAAGTTATCTATACATACTTACTGCAAGGAAGATTCTCGAGTCGGAAATAGATGCTGTGAACCACAAAATAAACCACAAAGTTACATGATACGCAGTACACTACACAATTTTTTCAACTGACACGGTAATAGGTTGTTTATAACACTTCTTAGGTATCAAAATGGTATTTCTATTATCACTGACGCCTTATAATGTATTGTTTAACTTAGCAGCTACAAATTAATAAAATCACAAATCGCAAAAAGAATGCAATTCCCAAGACAACCATGCATGAATGACAGCTAGTGATGTCACCTGTAGCAATCGCTCTAACAAAATAGTGTTACCATAATCAAAATATTGCAAAGTCGATTTTATAATCGATATACCAAGCGTCCTACTTTTATTGTTTTTTTGCCTTTAGGTTTCTTTACTTAATTAAATTCAAAGCCGTCTTAAATATTGAATTATATTTAATTAAGGGTAAGTATATCGGCAAAAAAATAGGAAAAGAGATCAATCAGTGGCTCAATATGTATTATATTGAGCCACTGATTGATTTCTTTTCCTGTTTTTTTATGCATGACCAATTGGTTTCAATGTGAAGACGAATGAAATACCCACGGTTTTCACATCGGTATAACACATATAACAAAGCAAAGTTTTAGATTACGCTTAAGAGTTAAATATCACATAGAAATTCAGGATCGAATCATCGAATTCGTACAGTACTTCTTTGAAGAAAATAAAAAGTCACTAGCAGTTTTCGAGTACACGGCGATGACAGTATTGCCTCACATTAGGCCTTGCGACTTGTAAGTGGAACCTCTTCAAAGATATTTAAAATAAACTAATTATTAAATTATTGTAATTATCACGGTGTATCGTAGCTTGTTACAAAAAAAATGCATAATTCAAGGGCAGATCTATCTATATTTCTGAAATAATCACGTCGAAATAGGTAGTTTTAACTTATGATAAGTCAAAACTACTTTAACTATAATATAGAACCATGGAGTCTTGAAGTTCTTACATTTATGCTTCGATATATATCTTAGTGCATATTATACTCTGTGGCGTGGTAAACTCTACGCTACATACTTTTCAAAAATGCAGCATATCATTTGAAAAGAATTAAGTAATACAATCAAATAAAGGGATAATTTTTTTCACCAGAAATGCAGAAAAGTAAAAGCTATCGAATAAAAAGAGCCAATAGAGATGGCAAACGTGTAAAACAAATGTCTCTCAATAACAAGTCACAAATATTGGAAGAGAAACTTGATGCAGAGGCAGAGAATAGGACAACTCTACCCATTGTTCCTACGCCGATAGATTTTGACAATTTCTTACCTTGGGTCTGCCGGGAGTGGAGCATACCTTATGATGTGATAGTGGTTCGTCCTAATCTAGGTAAATTTATTTTCTAGTAAAACTATCAGTACTTTTTTCTATAATTTATGTGTTTATTTTTCTTTTAAGGTAAATCAAAGTAATTCATTCAGCTTGGACTAGACACAGAATGTAGTCACTACCGTTTCGTATTAACATTATTAAGTAGTAGCACTTGTTTGGTAGTGCATTGGTAAAAAAAATAGAAGTTGTGTCGTGTGAGGTGGTAAGGGTAGTGTAAGTTTTACAATGACAATCGGTTAGGAATATTTTTGAATGTTAATCACTCCCATAATGTGTTTTACGCTTTACGAAATATATTATATTTAAAACTGCTGAAATTTTGCGTTCAATTAAATCCGTTACGATTTCCAAGATGGTTAAACTTTCTCGGAGAACAGAGGGGACACATGATTTCAGGGAGACAGAAGTGATCAACATTTCGACCTGTTCTGTTTTCTTTGTTTTCTTACACCTTTGATTAGTGATAAAACGAATAGCCCACCCGGGTTCAGCTGCTACTTCCGGAGTCGTTCGGAGTGGTCGACATTCTTTATTACAGATTTTTATTATTTAACTTTTGAAACATGAATAAGTAAACCTCTAAAATTATGTAGATGGCCTAGTGGAGGACAGTTTGCTTATCTCGAATTAGGAGGGGTCCCCATAGATGGCCATTAGAACCTGTCTAGTGATTAGTTAATAGACCTGACGAAGATATCGAAAATACTGTGTGGTTTTAAGCCCGTATAACTCTGATCACAATAACTTTGTTTAACAAGTATAAAGCTATTCTCTCTTGCTTTGACTGTAGAATTAACAGATACTTCAAATCTCTAAAGACGTAAATAACCAACGAGTATCGTGTGACTTTATTTCTCAGTTTCACTAACTATAGAATAATAGTCAAGGTTGATTCATATTTATATTTACATTCTAGAAGTAAATAAGGACATTGAAGTTAAAAGGCTGCTGTCGAAGCAGTTAGAAGACACTTCTGAGGAATCAGAAAAGAAGAGCTTTCAAAAATTTCGAGTTTCGGAGACACTGAATTTGAATTCTTCCCTTCTATCTGATGAGAAATTGAAAAGTAAACTTGTCATAGAGGCAAATTATGATACTCAAAACCGGCTCAAAGACATATCGTTTTTGGAATGTTGTTGCGGTATTCCAAAAAAAGTTATTCGTGCAATAAATCTTTGTCTACCATTTCACTCTAAATTGAGTAGAATAAACATTCGCAACAAAGAACTAACTCATTCCGCATTATGTGAAATTGCTAAAATGCTACCGCACTCTAATGTAACTACTATATGTCTTGACAATTCCATCATTCCTCAGGGTCGTTATCAGATACTTATTAAAAATACTTCTCAATTGAGCTATTTATCTTTAAATAGATGCGAGATAAACGATGATGTCTGCAAAGAGATTGGCATTAATTTAACATTCGGAAAAGGTGCTTCAAACTCACTTAATGTGTTAGAGTTAGCATCAAATGATATCACCGATGTAGGAGCAGAATACTTGGGGAAAATGCTTCGAACTAATCGACGTCTATTGCATCTTAATCTAGCAGGCAATAAAATAACTGACATCGGTGGAAAAGCTTTGTTAACTGCCTTGATGGATTTTAACTTGACATGTGATGAAGTTTTAGAAATGAAAACAAAACGTTACAATTTTTTAAAGGAAAATCCAACAATGTTTAACAGATCCTTGGATCAAGTTATGACGATTTATGATTCATGCGAGACGTTCAACGTTAGTATTCCTCCTTCTTCACACAATGCTTTGTCTAAAGTGAAGACACCAAGAGTTCGAACAACTAAACCACAAGAACTTTCCAGACATTTGGCTGCCACACTAGCTGATGAACTGTTGGATCCTTACACTATCCATAATTTAGAGCTAAGAAACGGAACCTACTTCGCTAAAGGAAACCTCATTTTGTGTTCTTTAAATTTAGCATACAATAAACTACACTACCCTTTTCTAAAGAAACTTGACGAAGTTTTAGCATACCAGCATCATGCACAAAAAACTCTGTCCGGTACAGGACTGATTAGAATCGTATTAGATGGGAATTACATGCCGACAGAGTGTCAAGAGCTCAATCGAATTGAGGCTTACTTGAAGTTCAACATAGACCAAAAACAACCTGAAACGACTGTAAAAAAGCGACAATCTTTCACACTATCAAAAAGATCTCTGAGCAAGGCATATGTAAAACTTAAATAAAATGTAAGTAATATTATAAAAAGTTGAGGACGAATAAGCCTTTGACTTTTGTCCTCAACTTTTCTAATTCTATGGAGGATTTAAATAAACCTACACACTCTGAACAATAACCGTGTGTTGGTTTCCAGGAATGATTATGGCATGGTCAAGTCAAGGTGTCATTGAGAATTTTTATTTACGATAGTACCCATTGATGACTAGGACATTTTATTTTTGGAGTCCTGTTGCTATAAATAATTATTTCTAAGCTAAGTAATTGTCAACATCCCGATTAAGCATTTTTATTTTATGTCTAGTCCAGTGACCCGCAGATGTCACGCAAGCGACTTTGGATAACATCGCATGCAAAGACGTGGGACACGTGATCTTTTTGTCTGGCAATAAGTTTGAAGCACAAATATCTTCTAATAAAAACGTAAAGCACCGTTTTTAAAACTATGGAGTGTAGATGAAATGGCTGGAACTACGATATGAACATAGCTGTTGTAGACGAAGTGAAGTGTGCTAAGTTAAAATATTATAATACTTTTATTGTCTTAAAGTTATAACACTTTTATTTATTGTCTGTAAAACTAGGAATAATAATATATCTCACACACGGCCGTCTGATCCCAAACTCATTGACTATTTTCGCAGTTTAGTACACGGTGTCTATTATTATTTATGCCAATATAGATTAATCCTAGGCCGGTAGCCTAGGATTAATCTATATTGATTACGGAAACTTTACGGACGCGATATTACGGAAACTTTCATGCACAGATATGGTTCTCCTTGCCTCTACACTCCATAGTATATACTTATACATATATTTCCATTTTGCACTAAATTACTCTATATAAGATGAGTGTACGGTTTATCTTATTATCACCCCACTACGGCCAAAAAGAGTGTTATGATTTTCACCCATAGTTAAGTCACGGTACAATTATAATACAGTACTCCAACTTCATACAAACGGACGAAACGCGAGCTATACCTACGCGCCTCGATCTCGGGGTGCGCTCGGGGCGCAGACAGTCACGGCTGTACCGCAGTGTCGAACGGACGGTGTGTTGTTTTTTTAACAATAACCGCGCGATTTTTTCTCTACAAATCAGTTAATATGACGAGTAGGAAATATTGTGCTGTTTTTGGATGTATCAATTCGTCAATAACGCATCCAGACATAAGTTTTTTTAAATTACCTGGAAACTCTGAAAGGTAAGACTATAAAATAATTTTACTTACTAGTAGGTACGTACATGTGTATCTTTTTAAAGGATAAGTATTTCCTTTTATCTCACGAAAAAAAGGTATTTGGATTAATAAATAAAGCGAATAGAGTAACGGAAAGTTATTGAGACGAGTGAAATAGGTAGTTATATGCGGTTCTGAATGAATAATGATACGGTAGGTACCTACCTACTTACGCTTGTGTTTAAACTTCGGTGCATGTGTGTTTGCATAATTCAAAGTAAAGACGTGGTATTTTATTATTAATAATATTTGTTTATTATCTGTGTGTATGAATAATACTAGAATTTTTTTTTACCGTCTGTGTGTCATTAGATAGTTTTCGAAATTTCACCAAATTGTTTCTGCTGCTACTATAACAACATATACCACTAAAAACTGGTTTTATTTTCTCGGTATTAACAACAACAGCTAGACTCATATATAATATTTAGATGTTTGAGGGTTGTGATTTTAAAACATTCGTAGTCAGCTGTTCAGCTTTTTAATAATTCATTAATTTTTTGACCAAAGAATTTTGGTCTTGAGTTGTTGCGAGTTGTAGGTAGGTACCTAATTTATAGAGACGTTAATAAGCTAAGATAAAAAGTTACTTACTCGTCAGCTGTTTCTTGCATTCTAGTTGAGTAGGTAGGTGTTGGAGTTTCTAAGGATTGGAGTTTTGTAACGCGTAAGGAGAAAGCACATTTTTTTTATTCTATAGAAGGATTTTTAAGCTATTGCATAGCTTTTATCGCGGGCTCTGAGCGCGGCGCGGCGCGGTGAACGAATCAAGAAATTCTCAAAACCTAACGAAAAATTCCTGACACCACGCAGATTTCTTTCTTTAAAAAAAAAATGTTATGCAATAGCTTTACCGCGGCAGTCTCCGAGAGTGCCACATGTATTTTTTTTTTCAGACGTCTTCAATGGTTGCAACTGATCCGGCGAGATGATTTGGAAAACAAACCTAACTTTAGTTCCTACCAAGTTTGTGAAAAACATTTTAATTTGGAGGATGAGGATTACATTAATCAAATAGAAAACTTTAAAAAAAGAATGCCCTACCATTGTTGATGCTGCCAAGCTTAGCTAGTACTGATCCAGGAGTCTCTCTAAAAGAAGATAAACAAACCCAAACTGCTCCGTTGGTAGGAAATGAAAAGAGTACACAGACTGAAAATGCAAGAAATGAAATCTTTGCTCAAACCTCAACGAGTCTCTCTAGCAACACTCCAAGAAAAAGAAAATTGAAACTTGAACTCCTCCAATGCAGAAAGAAAATAAAATAATTAAATCTACCAATCAAAAAACAACACGCATTTTTATTGAACACTTCCTATTCAATATACAAAGTATTTCATTTATTTATATAAAAAGGATATTTACAATCACAAATCTAAATAGAAACAGAAAGTAGGCAAATATAATTAAAATACTGGAAACGGGCAGCCCTAACGCATGTTTATGTACCGCGCGGCTGTAGGCATTTATTTCTATCATGCGGCCGAGTTAAACTACTGTATTATAATTATACCGTGGTTAAGTATACCTACTTAATATGTTTAAGGGAGAACAAATAATAAACAAATTATTTTAATAAGTGTAATTTTTTTGCAGGTCAAATAAAATTAAAATATTTTATTTCAAATTAGGCATCTAAATGCACTTTTGAATGCCAATATGAGAAAATCAATTAATGAAAATATTTAATAAACGACAGATTAATGAAAATATTTAATAAGCTACAACTCTGATAATACATGTCTTGCGGTAGAAAACTATTCTGAATATTGTACATAGAGTATTTACTTACAAGAAAACTTTATTTTATCAGGTAGTATACCTGGTAATGACCATTTCTTGGGTTGACTTTTGTGAAATGCTAAACATATACAAATTTTAATAAATGTTTTTTTTTTGCAATTAGAATGTCACTTATAATTGAAACATTTCGTAAAAATCAGCCTAAGTACAATTTCCTTCATTTTTATATTTAAAGTACTTTCTTGGATTAAAATTATATTCTAATTTCGGCCCTGTCTTTTTTGGTTAAAAATATGTTTTTTTGGCGGTTAAAAATATGTTTTTTTGGCGGTTAAAAATATGTTTTTTTGGCGATAAAAAATTTGTTTAGGACTGAATGCAGAACAAATTTCAGTATTATTTTACTAATTCTAAGTTCTACGTACCTTTTCTATTTTGTTTCCATTACACTAAGTTTAGTCATCTAGTGTCGAATAGATGTAACTATATTTCAAAAACAGTAAGAGAATTTTCTTTAACTATATTATTAAATTGGGTATAACAAGATTTACAAATGAAATGTGATGCAATCCATAGCAACAAAACATCTACTCAACAAATTTTAACACGATAGAATACAAAATTTCATATACCGATTTGCGATTTTGCGACACAAGCGCACAATACGGACGCTGAGTGTACTAATTTTAAGCCACGCCCACTGTGATGACGTCAGGACCCAGTTAGAATCACAGTGCACAGTTGCTTAGGGCCTCTTTGTATTTGGTCCATGGATGTCATCATCAATCACGTGAAAACAGTAGGTAGAAATTTCACAACATTTACTTATATTGCCACATTTAATTAATTGGTGATTATCGTCAACATCGCTAGTGCCGCTTTGTAAATGATCTCGTTGTTACTTTCGAAAAATAATATTCCCATTTTGAAGAAAAATTATACAAACAAGTTGTTTATGAATCACAATTTATGTTTTTATTTTAGTAGCTTAGATATAATTATTTTAAGATTTGATTTAGTAGCTTTAACGTTCCTATTATTAGGGTGTAATTTATCTATAATATGTATGTATATAAAAATATATAAGTATGTTTATCAGCAGTCTGGTTACCATAGTACAACCTCTGCCTAGTTTGGGATCAGACAGCCGTGTGTGAGATGTGTGATGTTATTATTATTATTATTATTTATTGTTCTGAGTAGGTACCTATAGTTTGCAAATAAAAAAAATAAACCCTAAGCTGAGATAATAACTTAGAGTGACTCTTTCGATATCATCATCATCAGCTTATCGCAGTCTACTGCTGGGCAAAATGATCCAATAAGATTTATTGGTGGTCTTCTTATTATTAGTTAACTAGGTAGGTTTATTGGTTTATTTTTAAACCCGTTAAGGATGATTCGATTATTTTATTTTACTTATTAAGATACTAAAAGCTATTTGGATTTCATAGTTTTAAGGATTTTTAAAGTTTCCTAATAGTCTTTTGTAAAGTCTTTATTTTGACTTTGAGATATTTATGTTTGTAAGCTTGCAACTTTAAAGTCTCGATTTCGGCTTAACATACTCGTATGCATAGTTTATAAAAAAAAATTGTAAAACATTATCCTTTTCCTACGTTTTTGTTTAGAAAATTTACCAAAAAAAAAATACCAAGCGAGGCTCGGTCATCCAGGTACTAGTATTAAAACCATAGGAAGCGAGTTATTGCAGAAATAATAATTTTTGTGACCTTTGGCCTCAATATCTTAACTGTAAGACCACACGTGACTGTAAGAGACTTTAGAGATATTCTTTTAGGATGCCAAAATAAAAGTTTATTATTAGAGTTTACAGTTTATTATCTCTAATTCCAAGGTGAAACCCCTTAAAACTAATTAATCACGGATTATATACGGAAAAAATGTGAAGCTTTGTTTTCATGTTTGCATTTAGCGTTAAAGTCTGATTGTGTTTAGGCGCTAAGAAGATATTTTATTTTAAGTGTAAGATGGTAGTAGGTACCTACCTATAGTATTTTATGGGTGGCTTAAGTTATTGTATTAAATAATATTTTAAGTTGTTTACTTTGTTGTTGTTTTAAGTACAGGTTACTTCTATTGTAACTTATAGCACTTAGTTTTAATGTTGTGTGCTTTTCTGTCAAACTTGTTGCAATTATAACAATAAAAAAAATAGACTTGGATTTTTTCTTTACTTGCTCATCATTTAAGGGCTGCAATTCAGTCAAGGTATAATAGTGCAATAAATACCTTAGTTGCACTAAGAATTAAATTGTAAAACTATAAATAATTTAATTGAGCTTTATTTTTGAACTAACGTTACCAAGTCCCAGCCCGCAGTCCATTACGCGCCTAATCACAACGCACAAACAGTGGTGTATTTCCCATAGTATATGTCTTGTCGCCCAACCAGGTTACAATTAAACACATTGTTAGGTTAGGTTAGCGTTAGGAGTTCGTCTTAGGAATTAGGGCATATTAAATCTATAGGTCGCTATAGGTCTATATTTCGCTTCGATTGTATGCAGCCATTATTTTTTGTACAAAAACCAATTTAAATACTCAGTTAAATAACAGGATGAAACTGTCGTAGAAGTGAAAATACCATTAAAATCCTTGTCGTAAACTAAAGGATTGAAGGTAGATTTTGAAACTACCGCTTACTTATTTTTTTTAAAAATGGCGATGATGATTTTGTACAATTTTTGTTTAATATTTTTGTAACGAATCAATAATACTTATAAGCTGATGACGATGACCTATATTACTCTGTGCCTCCGTGACATAGCGAACCGTGTCGTGAACATTGATGGTGAACTTTGCTAGGGATTTCTGTTGTAGGAATAATAGAAATCCGAATCCGAACTGGAGAATCCAAATTTGCTATGAATTTTTTTTCTCATACAGACCAACCGCGTTACACTTAGGTGTTGTCATAGTTATGTACGGGCTTGGATCTTGTTTTAAAGTCTGGCTTGTGGCATCAATGTTATTAAGGTGCGAGGTCCCAAGTGCGAGTTTATTTCACATCAACTCGCTCTCAACAATGAGCGCGTTTGGCGTTGTGATTGGTGCAGAGGGCCCAGTGCAAGTTTATTTCACTTCTATTCGATCATCACAGTGCCCGCCTTCGGTGATATGATTGGTGTAGGGTTCAGAGCGGACCAATCGCAACGCCGGCCGCGGGCACCGTGATGTGAAATAAACTCACACTTGGGCCTCTGATGGACGGTCCTTCTCCAATCCGTCTCGGCCGTTAAACAAGTTCTTCCCAGTCTTCATACTTCATACACATAGAGTGGCGTTTCAGACAATTTTGAATATAATCTACAAAATAGTTCAAAGCAATTTGCATAGCCTGCTCGATTTGCCGCATGCTTTAAAAACCATTTCTAACAGTCATAAAATAAAATCAGACTGATTTTACACATATTTTATAAGTTATTCATATAATTTCTATAAATACTTATTGAATTGTTTAAATAACAATAATGGACATAGATAATAACTTGCTCAACGCCTTTAATTTGACAACGTCTTCGAACAATCTTAAATTGGGTCGTTCAACGGCGTCCGTTCTTGAAAGTCATTTCATAGAAGACCAAATAGACTTTGCAGATGTAATACTAGCTGCTGCCAGTAAATTTGAGTGTCCCATTACTATCGATGTCTGCAGACAATCTTTACCTAGTAAGTAATTTTACAAACATACTAGAGAGAGAGAGCCTAGAACCTAAGTATGTTCGCAGCCTTAGAATAAAAGTGACCGTACTCAAAATTCCTGGCAATTCTGATTCTGACCTTAAAAAGTGGCCTTTAAAATCTTGTTAGGTTAAATCCCTGTCGTAATTTTGAAAAAGAAAGTAGCAGCCTATGCGTTTTGCCAAGTTTGTTGATAGCCTTTAAATGATAAAAAAATCAGAATGTAGTTACATTCTGATTTTTTTATCATTTAAGGTATGGCTATCAGGTTCTTATAAAAGAGCAAAATAATTTGATTATTGTATTGAAACTGAGTACATTTTTGAACAATAATATAATTCGATATTCACCTAAATATCCCAAATAGTAGCAATGACTGTAATATGAATAAAATGAAATGTGTAAAACACTTCATTTTATTTCGAATTGGATGTTCTTAAATACTATTTGTTTCAGGTTTAGAAGAACATACAATGAAAAAACACACACATCGTAGACCGGAGAGAAACTTTAAAATAGGTACAATATTCACGCCAATGGTCGCAGCCATTGGCGTCAATATTGTGCATTCAGAATCAGAAAATTTTAACCCATCTTCAAAAACAGAGGAAAGACATGTTTTAAAAATGACTGCAGTGCATAATTTTAGAAACCGTTTAATCGAATTGACGATGGAAAAATATAGATGTACGCAGATACCAAGAGTGTTAATGCAATTACTTCATGTAATTCTTCCAAGCTACACGAAGCTTACCAAATTCACGATAAAGGACTGCTTCATTGACAAATACACTATTCCTGAACTGGAAAATATACTTTCTGTAACAAATATTACAGATGTTTGTTTGGATTCCTCATTTTTACCAGAAGGAAATTACGATATTCTTTTAAATCAAGCAACTTCACTACAAAACCTGTCTCTAAAGAGATGCAATATAAACGATATAGTTTGCAAACAAATAGTATCCAAATTACATTTTCAACAGCCGGCAGCAAATAGACTGTTAACTTTAAATCTATCTTCAAACAGAATAACAGATGAGGGTGCAAATTCCATAGGAGAGGCACTCATGAGTAATAGACATTTGCGGTATTTGAATTTAGCTGACAATTTAATTACCGACGAAGGTGTCAAATTCATATTTGATGCATTAAAAGAATTCCCTTTATCTAACAATGAATCTTTTGATACAAAAGTACAGTATATGAAGTATTTAAGATACTCTCAAGTAATTTCTAACAAACGTTCAATGGATGTTGAAAACAATTCTATGTCAAAAACTAGGGAGTCATCGAGACAAAAATCATTGTCAAAATCATTAAGATCACAAATGAAAACTGTTAAAAGTAAAAGTAGTTCAAAGATGGACAAGCGATCGTGTTCAATTGAAGAAGTGGGTGAAGTCTTGAAATCAGATAATACGAATTCAGACCTAATTGTTTCCTTTAAACATCCTTTCAAAAAGTCTCTGCTTAGTATAAAAGATGGCCATTCTTACAGTAGGGGAAATTTGGTCCTAAGTTATTTGAATCTAGCATACAATAATTTAATGTCTCCAAGTATTCAAAAGTTGCTTGAAGTATTAGAGTATCAGAAACTACATAGATATGATAATTTCTTTGGTTTAATAAAAGTAGTATTGGACGGAAATAATCTCCCCGTAAATTGTGCAGAGTTGGATAATGTTGATGTTTTACTTAAGGAGTTTCTTGGTAAGACTACGCGAACTAAAACCGCTATAGGTTTAAAACCCGTCAATAACAAAGACAATAATAAAAGGATTCAAAATTCTAGTTAAATAAATATATACCGTTATAAAATTAATCCTTTATTGATTAAATTATACATTATGTGTATTTACAAAATGTGATAGCGTAAATCTTACTACTTATGAATTTCACTTAATTTACAATCACTAGTTTTGGTAACTTACAGTGGAATACTGGTGTTTTAGTGACTTTTAATAATAAGAACCTAATAAAACTATTAATGAAATTAACTAAATGTAAAAAACTAATAAATAAGATATTTCTAAAATGTACTTAGTTTACAAAGACAGCACCGACTTTCATTTGTCAACATTGTGCTTAATACTGGCTCTGTTATATTGAGATTTAATCTAAAAGTAACATTACATGATACTTAAAATTACAAATCAATATTTTTGAACTTTGACCTCGGATATTATAAACCTTATTCCTTGCTATTCATAGTCCGCTAATTTTTCGGTGGTAAATATTCTCTGTTAGGTGTTGGTGGTTGTGTTCCCCCATTACCTCCAGGAAAACTAGGGCCGTTAGGTTTGCCCGATGGGTAGCCTTGGCTTCCTGAACCCTTTTCAGGATATGGTGTAGTCGAGCTTGGGTATCGAGAACTTGAGCTCCCCGGTCCGCCTGATTGACCTTGTGGACCGCTACCGTTAGAGCCAGGCCCTCCAATGCTTGGATAGCTACTTGAAGGACCTTGTGAGCTTGGATAATTTCCTGGGGCTCCTGGTGCACCCGGATACTGTCCTGAGCTATCTTGTGTACCCGGGTAACCTCCTGACGGTGCTTGTGAACTCGGAAAACTTCCTGAAGGGCCTTGTGAATTCGGGTAACTTCCTGCGGGTGTTTGAGGATAACTTCCTAAAGGACGTTGCGAACCTGGATAGCTTGCTTGTGAACCTGGATACTTTTCTGAAGGTCTTTGTGAGTTAGGATTACTTCCCAAGGGTCCTTGTGGGCTACTACTTGAAGGCCTATTACCAAAGGTACCTTGTGTACCGGGGAATCTTCTATCTTGACCGCTATATCCCGTATTTGGGAACAGAGTTGTTGGTCCCTGTGGTCTAAAACCGCTTGGATAATTTCCATTTGGCCGTGAGTTCCCTGATCCTGGATAAGATGATCCCTGAGGTCCTCTGAGGTCTCCTGGGTAGTAATCATTAAAACCAGATACTGGGAAATCTGAAGAACCCATTTTAGAATAATCATACAGTTTAGCATTTAATTCATAGAGACTTGGAGCAGACTCGCAAGTAAACTGGTTCCACCAAACACAAACAAAGTATTCTTGCGAAAAGACTGTGCCATTGGGGCAGAGAAAATCATATGTTTTGTTATTAGCGCAAACGTGGAAAACTTGACACCGGGTTTCAACATCAGCATAATAACCAGGATATTGCTGAGCATTGCAGTTAAAACTGGTCTGAGGGATGTAAGACAGAATGGGATAATCTATATAAGGTTCACCAGGAATAGCTGAGTAGTCACCACCATCATAGTAACCAGTATTGTCGGTGAATCCTACGTTACCAAAATTGGAGCCAGGTTGTCCAGGATATGTACCGCCTTGATCACCGGATAGTCCACGTGATCCTTGAGGATAAGATGAGTATCCCTGTCCAGGGTAACCTCCAGATGGTCCGCGGGAGCCTTGTGGATAATTGGCATCGTAGCTTCCTGGACCTCCTGATCCATTGGAAGGGCCTCCAGGTCTACTTGGGTAGTTTCTAGGTCCAGAAGGTGAGCTTCTAGGTCCACCAGAGTAGTCAGGACTAGATGGTCCGCCAGATGGTCGTAGAGGTCCGACAGAACCTTGGCTTGGATACGACGAACTAGGAAAGCCTGGTCCCTTACTTGAATCTTGGTAATTGAGAGGTCCCTTTGGGTAGCTTGTAGTAGGGCCTCCATTGTCGTTACTCTGAGTTCTGAGAGGATATGGTGTGGTTGTGCCACCTGACGATCCTGGATACCCGGGTCGACTTGATGTTGGTCCAAATGGTCTATCGGGTTTGTTGTAATCGTAACCATTTTGAGTAGCTGCTAGAGCCAGTAGCACTGAAAAAAATAGTAATTTTTATTTTTTTTAAATACTTTGATGTGAACAACCCTAATATAACATAATTTATTTCAATAGTGTTTTTACACTATTGAAATAAATTATGTTTAGTTTAAAGTCAAAAAATAAATACAGTACTGTTGTATGTGTACAATATACTAGGTGTCTGCACAATAAAATATAATGGGTGATTGAGCGAACCACACCCAGGCACAAGAGAAGTCCCAGCGGTATATTATTGAGACCGTGTTGCAACTACAAACGGTAATCGTTCCACGTAATGTTTAGGGTCTTCCTGAAGCACCAGGGACTTCCTTTCTAGGGTATACCTGGTTCCCCGGCTATTAGTACCCGGCGACGGCGTGCGGTTTTAGTCGGTTCGAGTCCGACATGCCACCGACAGGTGGTATCCGAGGGGATTTCCGCACGGAAAAAAAAAAAAAAAAGGGTCTTCCTGAAATCGTGGCTGTCTTAATTTTTGACACAAAAAAAAACAAACTTATAAAAAATCATCATTGGGCACTTTATTACTTGTAAATTATACGTGAGTGAGCGAGTGCGAGGCTAAAAATATTTAACTGTAATACCAGGATCAACAGCAGTGATCCATTAACACAGCGAGTAATGACATTCAGGAAGTCCCAGGAAAGTTAATCTGTCTTGGAACTTGCAACGAAATTAATCAGAAGTAAATTAAAAGAGTTGGAAAATAAATAAATCCACTTGTCTTCTTATCAAAGCGGGAGACAAAAATACTGTAGAAATAGGCATAGGTACCACGCACACAAAAACATGATGAGTCCTAAGTGAGCTACTTTTCAATTCTATATTTGTATGGGCGAATCGCCCAAAAACATAAAAATTCACCTTGCCTGACACAAGATCCTTATTGTATACCGCCCCAGATATCACCCATTAATGTGGCTGTATATGTATATATGTAGACAATGTTTACATATATATATATATTATATATATATAAGTACCCATTCGAAATTGAATTGTGATTTGATTGATTGTGAATTGTCGCCATTTTCATTAAGAATTGACTGACTCGTGTTTGTTCTAATTTCAAACTAGGAAACACTTCCTAGTTTGAAATAGTTTGTTACAACATTGTCACCGCTAGATGGCGTATCTTTCGTAAATCCTATCACGATCGCTGTAAAACATAGAAACTAGGAAGATTCGAATGACAAATATATCAAGGCACTCGAATAAGTAAAATATATAATTCGGAAGATTTTATTAAACCTTATCATGATTCGCATAGGCTCAAATTCAAATGAAGCTGCAAGAAGAAAAGGCTAGTTTAATTGGACGTATAATGTGCGAGAATGGTGGTATTATAGTTTGCCATTTTCCTTCATTAGGTAAAATAATTTAAATCTGTTTTCTAGATACAAAAAGCTACAATGTACGTGCATTTCTTACAATTCGTTTCAGATTGTTAGAAATTTACGAATCAAGTAGCGTGTGCCGCTTAAGGCAATATTTTTTTAAAGGCTATTTAAAAAACGTTCTTTTTCCTACATGTCTGCAAAAACCACATTCCAGTCCGTTCAATTATTCTCAACATTGACACAGAATATATGGACAACTGACATGCGAAAGAAATTTTAATTTACCCTACGATCAAAAATATCGTAGGTAAATACATATTCGATTCATCATAATTTTAAGATATTGATGATTTGTGAAAGTAATGCGTTTATTATAAAATGTTCACTAGGTCTCCAAGCTAGCGCCAGACTCGTAAACATAGGTCTAAATAAAAAAAAAACACGTAATTTGATAAAAATAATTTTGATTGATTTGAATGCCATTTATCTTTGTCTATGACTAAATTACCATCACATTTGAAATCGCTGTGACTACAACCAATCATTTCGTCAAATGAATATGATTCAAAGTAGCAATAATTTTCATGGCCACTTTTCACTGAGTGAGTGCGGTTACAGGAGCCCAAATCTCCCCTCCAACTGATTCTGAATCTTGGTCTGCATCTTGGTTGTTGGTCCCCATGGGCGGCGGTAGAGACTTACCATCAGGTGATCTGTCTGCTTGTTCGCCTGTGCGCCTTTAAAAAAAGTAGTTTTATATATACTTACTGCAAAATATTGACAAACGTAGCATGATGTCGGTGCTTTACCTCTGCGTTAAACTAAATCTGAAAACAATAAAAGATCTTTGAGTACTACTTATAACTAATTTTAATAAATGTGTTTTTTTGAGTTTCAGTTGATTGTAGATGATTATATTGAAAAATATCATGTCTTGTAAGGGCTAATGACTGGCAAACTCCTATTATTTTGCCATTTCAAACAGACACATTAATTTCAGTTATTTGTAGTGTAGATAAAACTCCTTTAATGGCATTGGCATCTTAAACGACACATTTAGTAAAGAAACTTAAGTACTAAAATTATTGAGGGACTATAAAAGTTTCCTAGAGCTTAAAACTATTTTTTAAAGTTACAATAAGCTCTGTGCCTTTAAAATTGGTTCATTTAGGCACAAAGCTTACCGTAACTTTATTTTCTTTAAGAATACAAGTAATGTAATATTAAATCATCAAAATTTATTTCCATACCCAAACAAAACAAGTTTTAACTACAAGAGGTATGTTGAATTCGTAATAAACGAAGTCCACAATAGTTTTTGATCATTTTTTTGTAAAGTTCCATACATATTTAAACAACCAACTTTACATTTCAATATTTCGTAACGTCGACATTATGGTTGGCGAGTTAAGTGAACTAGGAGTATTACGAACACATTTTTGCACGTCAGATAATACACGCTAGTTGAAAACACTAAAGTATTTCAAAGAGGAGTCCATATTAACACTTGTACAAGCACTAAATGTTGCCCTAAGGTGTATTCCACAACAACTCGGACTAAAACTGTCTGGTAAAACGTGACTGACACATCACTGCAGGCCAAAATACGGTTCTCACTGTCCCTTATTAAGGGTTAAACAACAATGTTTGTACCGTGGAATTTAACGATGGTCTTAATGAAAAGGGCATAGAGCACATAAGGCCAATGAGGTGTTTATTTTATTTTCTGATACTAAAATTTCGATTGCCATTCTATACAGTCATCTAGCCTTCTGACCAGTTATTAATCACTCTCATCTCACAATCACTAATGACGTGCGTAGAAATTTAATCATTCCAACAAACATGTATTTTTATACTTTTAAGTTTTAAAGAAGCAACATGAACTTAATCAACTTAACGCCAAAAATATGCTGTCTCGTGCTAAACTCTTATAATATCGAGTTCCCAATAACTCTTTACGAAGATTTATGAGAACACCGTCACTGATTTAGAGCCTATTTAATAATAATAAATACTTCACTATTAATTAATAACAATAATTTGTAAATTTCTTTTTATTTTGTAAGACAACTCCCGCACCTGTGTCGCGGGTGACTTTGCAAACATTCATGGAAACGAACATAAAGAACATCCAGACTCAGAACAACAATTTGTAGATCACATAAAGTGTTGTCCCGTGTGGGGATCGGACCCATAACACTCGGTGCAGTTATCGTATAGTAAGTAAATGTGTGAGCAGTGGTTTAAATTTCACGTGTAGCCAATATATTCACACGATAAGTATCTAAGAAAATAATTTATGTTCCGCTTAACATCGCCTTTTACGCTTAAATACATAATAATAAGTTATAGATCAAATCGACACTCATATATGCAAATTTAATAGCATAGCTCTTTATTGTGCTTTCATTAAAAATACGACCATTGTAGTCTTGGCGGTGCGGTGACGAGATTCGTGTGAATCTTATCTTAAATTATGAGATAGGTATAGCTAGCTAGCTTTAAGCAAGGCCTTGTCCTCACATTTGAAACTTAAAAAAAAACCCGATTGTAGCGTTTTTCATAAATCTATTTGTAAATTGTTACAAAAAAATATTTCATCCAATTAAAATGTCTGTTAGATTTACAAAATTTCAAAATATATTCATTCGAAAAATTTGTCATGAATCTTGTGTTATAACTGTGGATATTATCTGATACACTATTTAGTTACTATTAATGCAATCAGTTGTAATTATTAAATTGAAACGAACTCATGGTGGTTTCGCGTGGGAGTACCGGTACTTAATTGGTCAGTTTTAAATACATTATTGTTTCTATGTATCATACATAGAAACAATAATGTGTATATATGTATTTACAAAAACCAAGTATGAATGTATTTATATCAGTTGTCTAGTACCCATAGTACAAGCTCTGCTTAGTTTGGGACTAGATGGCGTTGTGTGAATGTGTTACAATATTATATTATATATATTATATTATCGCTGACCTTCCAAGGGTTCTAAAAGTCTAGTTGTAGTACTCATCATATTCATCATCGTTTTGCTAGGGGCAATGTGTAACATTAAAAAATGCTTTATCTAATTTCTTGTCCGACCGCCTACGTGTATCTACCCTCTGTGGAAATTAATATTAGGCTGGTCAATGGAAGGAGGTTAATTAGGGTAAGAAAAGCGGATAGGGCGAAGGATAAAGTGAAGTCAAGTCTCGAACAGGATACAGGACTAAGACTGTTACGGGACTAAGTAGCTCGAAAAGGCCGGGGTCGCATTCCCTAATGTCCAATGATTGAAGGGGCCAATAGAATGCGGACATGAACTGGCGATACACGTTTACGTAAGTCGACAAATATTTTGTTCAGTAAAATTTAGTTACGGTACGGTATCCTCGTGCACGGCGATATAAGTTATTCTACGATAAAAATATTTTTTATTTGAAGTTGTTTGTTATACAGAATAAAATATTCTGCATGAAGCAATAAGCTTTCGTTTTTCTGTTATCTAATAATGCAAATAAAATAAAGATCTCTAATTCGTGACGAATTGTCCAAAGTTATTCAAACAACAGTTTGTCATGCAATAGAAAACTGCACGCAGTAATTTGTTATACAGAGTTTGGAGCTTCCAATGACCTGACCTTTAATAAATATCAGACTATCTGGTTTTTGTAATAGATATATAAATATTAAATTATCTACTACTAAGATACTACATGCACTTTTACTTGTATCTGCCTGTAAAATGAAATAATAGACTAAAAATATTTTCACACATCTAGACTAACCATAAAAATACGAATAATATGCATATATGGATCATTCAGAATATTCCTCCGCAGCGTCGGCGTCTGATAACATCCCTAGCAGGCTAGCAACATTGAATGGAGTAAGTGAAATTTAAGTGGTAAACAAAAATCAAAATCGAGATATAATCACACATACATAGGGTTTAGCCAAAATTAAATATACTTACAAATTATATGTGAGCTTTATCATTTAATTCACAAAATTATTGTGTATAATGAAGACGCTCTTGAGCTAACTACTTTGTACGGAAATTGCCCAATGAATAGATTGCTCAAAATAAGTGGTGCCGGAAACTGAGTGTGCGAACCTAACACAGATTACATTACGATTAAATGAAGATAAAGCGATCTAGCTAGGTGATGGGGCCCGTACAAACAATCATCTGTTGTTCTATTTTTCAGGCTTTGTGTAACTATTAAGTAAGATATTCAGATGTTACGTTACGGAACTCTGATTAAAGTGATCGTATATCTTTGTTTTTCTTTTACGTGTTAGTGGGTTCGGACTTTTCGATAATAATCAGTTCGAATTATAGGTACTCTGACATTCTCAAGCTGGATCTTTTCCTTTAAATGTTAAAAGTTTCCAATGTGTCATGTTTCAAAGTTGGCGGCAACTACCTCTATTACGACGGTGTCCCTCGGCTCACAATTTTCCAGGAAAAATATACGTAATTACTATATATACCCCTTCGGGGATAATTAGTGTATGTATACATGTATGTGTGTGCATAAATATTGCATTTATATTAATAAACTACGTCCAGACACAGAACAAATTACCGAGCTCATCACACAATTATTTGTCCAAGGTTTGAATCGAACTTACGACCTCTGGCTTAGCAATCAGGGTCATTAACCACAAGACCATTAGGCCAGCAAGCTCCTGTTTTTAAAACAACGCGTTATAACTTGTGTAGAATTTTTAAGCATATTTCTGTTAATATTGTTAGCGCTCGGTGAAGTTCTAACACATACAAATGATGCATATCTGTTTTAATGTTAGCCCACTGACAGAAACAAAGACTAAGTTTATTAAGGCGTATGAAATAATTAAACTGTTATATGCCGCCGTTTATTACAGTTGTTGTGTGAGAAATCTTAGAACTAGATCTGAGATTTCTACTTCTGGTCTTTTATCTTATCTGACTAATTTAAGCCTCAATTACTCACGCATGATCACAATTGAAAATAAACTATTGTAATAATAACATTATAAGGATAAGATAGAAGATGAGTAACCTTTGTATTTGGCAAATACTTTCAAATTAAAAAATAACACCCAGGTGAGGTTACATACACGCACATTTCTGAACTCTGGCGCCCATAGTGTAATGTTCATAGCTTTCACAGTCTACTGTTGGATGTTGTATCTAGCTGTGTCTGTTGATTACAGCATCCTGCATTGGTCCTCTATACCAATGATTCTAATAACTTTTACACATCTCCCACAAGGCTACCTGATTCCGAACTAGGCAGATCCTGTACTACATACTTATATTTATATCATAATACTTATATACTTTTAAATATACACGTATTATAGATAAATTATTAATATACTCAGGAATAGAATAAATCATCATAAAGAAGGAATTGAACCCACGGTCTTAGGCTCAACAGAATGGTTCAACAGGCGAGTCTAAGAATCTGTCTCATCCAATTGATCCTTCTATCAACAATACAATTGTATTGGTTTATCATGTAAGTCAAGTATTTTATCTACAGGTCCTATCCCAACCGGGATTTCACTTTCGACATTTCCGCGTGAAAGATAATCTTAAGGTTTTACACAAAAGTTTACGTATCCCTAATAATTTCACCTCCTACATTATCTATTCAAGTCTACCCCAGTGCAACGCGTCGATTGTTTGAACATTATTTAAAACAAAAACTTCGCATTGTCGGGAAGTCAATATGTGCATGAATGAGAAAAGAATGTCGACTTCATTGTTTGCTTTGTATGAAACTTAACTTTTTATT